CTCGGGGCAGGCGGGGAACTCTCCTTTCCTGCCTCCCCGCGATGAATCACCGCGAATCACCGCAATTCACCCCCCCGGATCGCTCCGGTGCTCGGGAAGCGGCGGCGAACGGACCCGCTCCGGCTTTTTGGGGATGAACGCGGCTGCGACTGATGGTTCGTTTCTTGTTTTCCTCCCTCCCCAGCGCGCCCGGCGGGGCGATGTCTGACCCTGACGCACACACGTGTTCCCTCGCTCGCCACCCCCTGCCCGGATCCTTTTCCCACCAGTTTCTGAATTCCTCAGGGAGTTTTGCCCACCTCTATCTGCTTTCAATGGGAAAAAAATTAAGGGGAGGTGGCTCCAACCTTGCTGCAAAGAGAAGGCTCCAGGGAGACCTCAGAGCACCTTCCAGTGCCTGAAGGGGCTCCAGGAAAGCTGGGGAGGGACTTGGGACAAGGGCAGGGAGGGATGGGATGAGGGGAAATGGATGACACCTGGAAGAAGGGAGATTGAGGTTGGACATGAGGAGGGAATTCTTTGCTGTGAGGGTGGTGAGACCCTGGCCCAGGTTGCCCAGGGAAGCTGTGGCTGCCCCATCCCTGGCAGTGTTGAAGGGCAGGTTGGATGGGGCTTGGAGCAGCCTGGGCTGGTGGGAGGTGTCCCTGCCCATGCAGGGTTTGGGACCAGATGGTCTTTAAGGTCCCTTCGAACCCAAACCATTCTGGGATTCTATGATCCTATGGAAGTGAGCATGCACACCCAGAGCCTCAGCTCCCCAGAATGCTCTGGCTGAAGCAAAAAAACTGCTTCCAGCTTTGAGAAAGAGGTTCTGAACTGAAGCATTCAAACCTTGGGTCACCACCAGCACCAGCTGCTTTGAGGTGTCTCAGGACGCCCTGGCAGAGCCAGGTCTGGGATAAGGCAGAACCAGTGGAAAAAAAGGGAAAAAAAACCCAGGACAGATGGGGCTGAAGAAATAATGTAACAGAGCCCAGTCTGGCCAGGAAGTGGAGATGGGAGAACAAGCAGCAGAGCCAGCACAGACCTTCCTGAGGCTGCTTGCTCTGCTGGCAACGTTGCCATGGGGCAAAGATTTTCCCATTCAATCCCAAATGCTGCTCCCAGGAGGTGAGGGTGGGTCCTTGGGATTAAACACAACCAGCCCCACAGCATTTTTGTTGTTTTGGGTTTTTTTTGTCTTGGAGTGCAGAACTCACCTAATTAGCAATTAAACCCACAAAACCAAGAGTGTGGTGATGACCAAGGGAGCCAACAGCTGGTTTAGCCCAACACTCCAGTTCCAGGTGCCCTGCAGCAGAATCCAGCCCTACTCAGGAGTGAAAAATTGGGTTATCCAGGGAAAAGTTTTAACAAATATCCATGGGGTTGTGGGTGAGGGAATGTTAATGGCAAGAGGTCACAAAATGCCCCACAGCTGGCTGAGGACTCTTCATCCTGGTACATATCCCATGTTTCCTGCTTGGAACAACCTGGGCTGGAGGGAGGTGCCCCTGCCCATGCAGGGAGGTTGGATCTAGATGATCTTTTAAGGTCTTTTAAGGTATGGCCCAAACCATTCCATGATTCTACAAAAGCCCCAGTTTGGAACAAGCAGCCCTAGGAATGAGCCATTAATGATTCTAATTGCTTTACATCCCTCTGGATTTCTCTCTGAGCTTTCACTCTCTCAGTTCTGTATCAACTGTGATTTTTATTAAGCTGCTGTTTACACCCTCCTTACAGGGTCTGGAACAATTTAGAGCATTTCTAGAAGAGTCTTTTAAACTCCCAGTTGTTAGAATTAGCACACTGGGACAGCAACTGGAAAGAACAAATTCAATAAGCCTATTTTCTCCTTTTTTTCTTGCATTGTATTTCTAGAGGTATTTCCAATTCCTCTCAGCATGGTATGTGCAAAGCTCTTTCCAAAAGCACATTCATTTGAAAAGACCATCAAGTCACACTGGAATCACTGTCCTTGGCCTTTCCAAGGGAGATGGAGACCTAGGGGAAGACTACAGATTTGTCCCCACTGACTGGAGGCAGAGGGAGAAGAAAGAAGCAAGAGGTTCATACAGAGCTTTCCTCTCCCTTACCTCTGACTCCAGAGAAAATGGGGAATAAAAAAGGTCACAACTTGGTCCAACTACAGAGCTTGGCAGGGGTTCCAGGCTAAAACAGTCCCAGGTCTTTCAAGCTGGCAAGGTACTTTTAGCAAAGATTTGCCTCTGCAGCAGTCCACAGTGACTGTAACTCCCTCCTCTCTACATTTCCAAAAGGAAAGAGGAAGAGAAAGGACACACAAAGCCAGCCTGGAATCTAGTTTCATTTTATTTTAGCAAACTGCATGTTCTTCACTTATCAACATCTCTACATTAGCAACTGTATAGCTCTCCAACTTTTCTTCTTTAAAAAAAAAAAAAGGGTAAACAAGAGGTGACAAAACTCAGGCTCTTCATCTCTTAAAAATGCTTGAAAGTTGGATTCAAGAAGACTTTTTTTTTATATATCTTTTGGTTTGAAGGTAACAGATGTGGTGTGGAAACACTAATTCAAATCACCCACCTAACGGAGAACTGCCCCTTCTGGAGCCCCTCTGGCACCAGCCCACTCTGTTCCCAGACAATCCCACTCACCAGCAAACAAAACTCAATGGTCTGGAGGAGCCCAAGGTGCCCAAGCAGACATAAGCACCACCAGGACTCAGTGCAAGTGCTGTATTTACACTGCTTCTCCACAAGAAGCTTTAAGGACCTTGTCATGCAGGGGGAGGGATCTAGGGAGGACTCTTCTGCCACTGTCCCTTCTCTTTTAGAACCACATTCCCCCAGTCATCCTGTTCCTGCTAAAGATACAAAGATCTCGGAATAGTTTTCTTATTTTAAAAGCCAACCCTCCCCCCGAAAAGCCCAAGAAAAACAACTATAAAATGTACAGATTATAGATGGCCTAGAAAAGTCCTACAATTATTGCAGAAATTAAAGGTGACTTGTTCCAGGGGAGGGGCAGGCACGAGGCACAGCATTGAGATCTGACAAATGCTTGGGTTGGTTTGATTTAGTTTTCAGCTTTTTTTTCCCCATCATTCCAGAAAAAAAATAATAAAATAAAATTAAAAAAAAAAGTGTTTAAGCATCAGAACTAAAATAAAAATGCACATTGACTTATAAAACAAGATGGTGGATTTGACCATGGGATTCCCTGACAGTGGAAAAGATTTTACTTTTTTGCCCGGAGAGATTTCCTCATGGTGGATTTGCCCTTGGCAGAGGATTTCACTTCCTTCCTCCCACTGGCTGCTGGTTTCTTGGAAGAGCTGCCACCAGAGGGTTTCTTGATGGCTGGGGCTGCTGGTTTGGCTTTCTTGGCAGGGGTTTTAACCTTGGGAGGGGGCT